TACACTGGCTGCTGCTGCGGGGCCTGGCGGCTGCAGTAGGCCCACAGCAGCGTGCTGCAGCACGCACACCCCACACTTCCTGCTGCTGCTGCAGCAGCAGCAGCAGCGAAGCGCACAAGCGGCAGCAGCAGATGCAACGGCTGCAGCAGCACTTGCTGCTCGAACTGACTGTATCGTTGCTGCAAAATGACTCAGCCACGCAGAAGCGCAAGCAGCAGCAGCAGCAGCAACAGCAGCAGCAGCAGCAGCAGACTTTGACACTGTGTTGACAAAAATATGGTGCAGAATCGCCCAAGAGCCCAAAATCCACTGCGTCCTGGTCCATCGCTTTCCCGTTTTCTCTGCTGCTACTGCTGCTGCTTCTTCTGCTGCTGCTGCTGCTGCCTTTTGCTGCTCCTCTAATTCCTCCATTACCGAGGCAACAGCAGCAGCAGCAGGCTTTTCTTCTTTGGAGTCCTCCTTAGCTGCCTTCGGCACGACTTTTATTCCTGCGTGGCGCTGCCCAAGTTGCTGCTGCAGCTGCTGCTGCTGCGCCGAGCCTTGCTGTTGCGGTGACTGCTGCTGCTGCTGCTGCTGTCCTTGCTGCTGCTGCTGCTTCGTATTAGCCTGGCCTGCTGCTGTACGCGGCGCTGCAGCAGCTGCTGTGGGGGCAGGTAAGGCAGCATGCTGAGGGTCGCGGGTGAATTGCTGTGCTGCTGCTGCTTGCTGCTGCTGCTGCTGCTGCTGCTGCTGCTGCTGCTTATTTGGCGCCGCTGCTTTTCCCAGGGAAAGCTGCTGCTGCATTCCTGCCCCTTCTCTGCTCCCCGATGGTGTCCCTGTTGCTGATGCTGCTACTGCTGCTGCTGCTGCTGTTCGGGGTGTTTGCTCCGGACTTGGCGGTTTGCTGCCTCTCGGCGTGGCTACTGCAGCCAGAAGACGTTCCCGCTCCCGCAGGATAGCTTCAGCTGCAGCGCAAACCCTAAACCCTAAACCCTAAATCCTAAACCCTGGACACCAAACTCTGAACCCTAGTGCTCAAGTCGTAAGGATAAGGGCCAGCTGCAGAGCCCTGTGGCCGTGCTGGGCTTGAGCCGGGGGGAAGATAATTCAGCAAGAAAGTTAGGGTTTAGGGTTTAGGGTTTATATGCTTGAATTAAGAGTTTAGGGTTAAGGGTTTGCGGCCTTACGCTTTAGGGATTAGGGTTTAGGGTGCGGGGGGGACTTTCTTTTTGGCCTGGAATGCAGGGTTTAGAAGCTTCACGCAGGGTTTGGGGAGTCTAAATCAGGGTTTGGGGTTTAGGGTTTAGGGTTTACCTATTTCGGCGGTGTTTTCTTCAGGGTTTGCGTAAACATCTTTCACCAAAGCAGTTTTTCTTGCATCTCTCTGGTATTTTGCTGCTGCCTGCTCGTGCAGCAAGTGCAGCAGCAGCCCCAGAGCCACGGCCAGCAGCAGCAGCAGCAGCGGGAAAAAAGCAGCAAACGCTAGCTGCGTGCGAGCAGCAGAGGTCCAGCTGCTGCGCTGCAGCGGCAGCAACAGCAGCAGCAAGCACATGGAGACGCAGCAGGCTTATAGCAGCAAGACGAAAACCCACTGAACCCTAAACCCTAAACCCTAAACCCTATTACCTAAACCCTTAAAGCAAAAGCGCGTTTCATTAAGCAAGTAGAGAGTCAGGGCGGCAGGCCCAGCATGCGGAGGAACTACACCCTAAACCCTAAAATCCAAACCCTAAACCCGAAACCCCAAACCCTGAACCCTAAATCCCAAATCCCAAACCCTAAACCCTAAACAGTAAACCCTTGGACCTAGGCCCCATAACCCGAATCCTAGATTCTAAACCCTAAACCCTAGAGGGGAGAAAACAAATAAAACTGGATTTGAAAACTGCAGCAGAGGAAGCAGCAAAAGGCACTCACGCGGTCCATACACTCCAGCATTTGCTGCAGCGGGAAGCCCATCGAAAAAACCCCCAAAACAGCCCAAGGCCCTGAAGGGGTCCCCCGCAGCAAAGGACTGCAGCAGCAGCAGCAGCAGCAGCAGAAGCGCAGGTAGCAGCAGCAGCAATAGAGGAAGCAGCAGCACAGCATGCAGCAACGACATGACAGGGCGCCACAGTGGGGCTGGCGAAATTCTCAGTCAAATCCTAAACCCTAAACCCTAAACCCTAAACCCTAAATTCCTAATCCTAAATCCTGAACCCTATGTTCCCTGTGCCCGCCGGAGACCCTTTGAGCTCACGTGCTCTCACGAAACCCTAAAACCCTAAACCCTAAACCCTAAACCCTAGAACAACCATTTGAGCCCCCGTGCTCTCCTGAAGCCCCGAAACCCAAAACCCGAAACCCTAAACCCTAAACCCTAAACGCTAAACCCTAGAGGCTCACGAGATGTTGGAAGTGTGTTGCCAAAAGAAGGTAATGCCCCGCAGCAGCGCAACAATTTCTGAAGAATCTCCCCAAAGGGCCCCTCGCCGCAGCCACCAGAGAGCAACAGCAGCAAGCAGCGCAGCAGCAGCAATAACACCGCAGCAGCAAAGATACTG